GAAGGAAGGAAGGAAGGAAGGAAGGAAGGAAGGAAGGAAGGAAGGAAAACATGTTAGAATAGAATAACAGAGTTGGAAGGGAGCTTGGAGGTCTTCTAGTCCAACCCCCTTGCTTAGGCAGGAAACCCTACACCACTTCAGACAAATGGTTATCCAGCATCTTCTTAAAAACTTCCAGTGTTGGAGTGTTCACAACTTCTGTAGACAAGTTGTTCCACTGATTAATTGTTCTGTCAGGAAATTTCTCCTTAGTTCTAAGCTGCTTCGCTCCTTGATTAATTTCCACCTGTTGCTTCTTGTCCTGCCTTCTTGTGCTTTGGAGTATAGCTTGACTCCCTCTTCTTTGGGGCAGCCCCTGAGATATCAGAACGCTGCTATCATGTCTCCCTTACTCCTTCTTTTCATCAAACTAGACATATCCAGTTCCTGCAACGGGTTCTTCATATGTTTTAGTCTCCAATTCCCTAATCATCTTTGTTGCTCTTCTCTACACTCTTTCTAGAGTCTCAACATCTTTTTTTACATCGTGGCGACCAAAACTGGATGCAGTATTCCAAGTGGGGCCTTACCAAGACATTATAAAGTGGTATTAACACTTCAAGTGACCTTGACTCTATCCTTCTATTTATGCAGCCTAGAACTGAGTTGGCCTCTTTGGCAGCTGCTGCACACTGCTGGCTCATATTTAAGCGATTGTCCACTAGGACTCCGAGATCCCTCTCACAGTTACTACTATTGAGCAAGGTACCACATACATTGTACCTGTGCATTTGATTTTTCTTGCCTAAATATAGAACCTTACTTTTTTCACCATTGAATTTCATTTTGTTAGATAGTATTATTGCTAGTTTTGGTTTATAGTTATATGATATAGTTATCCTCCCACCAGCCTTTGGGAAGTTAAAATGCAATGGAGGCAGTTTCATTCTACCTTTGTCCTTTGTATTCTCTCTCTGTCTCCCCTACTCACAGCCAGCAGCTCCTCCCACCAGCCTCTGGGAAGTTGAAACATCTCTTATTTCAGGGGTCCCCAACCGCCGGTCCGCGGACCGGTACCGGGCCGCGGAACAAGCCTTACCGGGCCGCTGGTTGCTGGGCGCCGCCATCTTTTTTTGGTAAAAAAAGCAATTTTTCGTCAAAAAAGATGGCGGCGCCAGCGCTTCGGGTGAGCTTTTCCGGGTAGAA